AACCCCGCACCCCCCACCCACCCGCCACAGGTCCCCCAGGCCATCTATATCTGGCCCATGGTGGCCTTTGCCACGGCCACCGTCCTGAACCTGGCCTCCGCCTGCCTGGAGCTGCGCCCCATCAAGCGCCAGCTCTGCTTCCTGGCTGCCTACATCACCGCCACGGCCCTCGTCTTTGAGGCGCTGGCCGCCCGGGGCCGGGCGCCCATCTTCTGGAGCGTGTCGGGGCGCCCTGTCTCCCTCCTGCGCTACGTCATGTGGGCCCACGCCACCCCCGTCATCATCTATACCCTGTCCATGATCTCGGACTTCGATTCGCTCCGGGTCTGGCGCCTGGTACTGGTGGACCTCGTCATGATCGTCACCATCATCCCGGGGGAGCTCGTGGACGGTGGGCGGGGCAAGATGTTTGTGTGTGTGGAAGAGGTGGGGGGGTGTCAATATGGTCTGCATGGCTAGTCAGGAGATGTACAGATGGGAGACGCATGGCCTGGCAAGCTCCTCGGGACTGCGCAGGTGCTGGTATCCCCTGACCTGCTTCAGGATGCAACGGCCCTGCCCCCCGGAAGGCACTATTGATGTTGACACAGTTGCACCCCCCTTCAACAGCAACACCCCCTCCTTTCTGAACCTCATACAGCCTGGCACCGGTGGATCTGGAACATCATCTCTTTTGCCGTGTTCCCCTACATTTGCTCCGAGCTGTGGGCCATGTATTCCTCCGCCATCCATGCCTCCAGGTGGGTTGGCCTCGCGAATGGGATGCGCAGGGGGGGGCCCTGGTATCATGCTTGCAGCCATTGAAGCTGTCCAGCGGAGGGTCATGGGGAGGGGAAGAGGAGCTTGCCACAGTGAACACCTCCATCAAGAGCAGAACCTCCCAACTCCTCGACACTGACTGCTGACCCCCCTCTCCGCCCCCCACCCCGCTCGACCGACAGAGACCATGCCACAGTCCGTGCGCTGTCCGCGCTGCGTGCCTCCACTGCCGTCTTCTGGACGCTCTTTCCCTTCGTGTGGACCGTGGCCCAGGCACGCGGCGTGAGCACCGCCTGGGAGGAGCTGCTGTGGACCTGCTGCGATCTGGGGGGCAAGATCATCTTCTCCACCTCCCTCCTGCACTCCAACTTCCTGACCATCGACGACCGCAAGATGCGCGCCATGCGCGAGGTCATCGAGTCCAACAGGTGTGTTGTGTTTGGGGTTTTGTTGTGTGTGGGGGGGGTACTTTCCAAGGAGATAATGGAAACATCAATGGACTAGCAACTTGGAAGGGGAGGGGTCTTCCCGTGTTCTGTACTGGCACAGATCTTTGAAGCCTCGCACCTCATAGCTGCCTGCCCTGCCTCCGCACACACTGTGGAGTGCGCTCGTGCACACGCCCTGACCCACCCATGCCTTCATTTGGCCCTGGAGCCTGCATGCACCAAAGCAGCACAGCCCTTCCCATCCCGACAGCACACACACACACACACACACACTCTTTCCACCAGGGTGCGCGTCATCCAGGAGCTGCGCACGCTGCTGGAGCAGCGCGAGCACTTCATTTCGGTGATGAGCCACGAGTTGCGCACGCCGCTCAACGGCATCATTGGCCTGTCCTCCACACTGCTCCTGGACCTGGCGGGGGAGCCGCTGCGCGGCCGCGGCCCCGCGGTCACCCACGACGTGGCAGCCATCCGCTCCTCCGGCGTGCGCCTGCTCAACCTGGTGAACGACATCCTGGATGCCTCCGCGCTGCGCGAGGGCAAGCTGGCGGTGAAGCTGGAGCGCGTGGAAGTGCGCCGCGTGGCCGAGGACGTGCTGGCGCTGGTGCGGCAGCTGGCGGCGCCGGGGGTGGTCATCCTGAACGACATCCCGTCCGACCTCCCCGCCGCCAAGGCCGACACGGGGCGCCTCATCCAGGTCATGTATAACCTCATCGGCAACGCCTGCAAGTTCACCGACAAGGCGAGCTGGTGGTGGTGGTGGTGGGGTGGGGGGTCCAAGGGGGATGGGGCGTGGTGCTTGGTGGGGAGGGTGCCCTGGGAGAAGGGGGCACAGGAGGCCACAAATCTCGTGGCCTCCAGCGGCACGTGCGCTGCGGACAGCTGCCGCCACCCCCTACCCGCACGCGTCGGCAAGGAGGGCAGCCAGCGTTAGATGCTAAGGAAGAGGGGTGCTGGGCCCCTGAAATCAACATCCAGGGCATGGCACTCAACCACTGGACCGACTCCAGTGCGCCTTGTGTCTGCACAGACTTCTCCCCCACTCCTATCCCGAGCACCGCCAGGGCTGCATCATGCTCACCGCTGGCCCGGAGAGAGAAAACATGGTGTCCATCTCGGTGTCGGACACGGGCATCGGCATCCCGCCAAGCAAGCTGGACCTCATCTTCGGCCCTTTTGCCCAGGCAGGAGGCTTGGTTTGGGAGTGGGGTGGTGAGCGCGGGAGCTCCCGGGCGGCTGGCAGGAAAGTGTGAAAGGGGGGGTTGGCACGCTTCATGTTCAGTCTGCAATCGCCCCTGTGACCCTGCAAAGCATGCATGTTTTGCACCAATGATGTCCATCCCCCACAGTAACAAACCACCACCCCTGCTGCAGGCGGACATGAGCTACACGAGGCGGTACAGCGGTACGGGGCTGGGCCTGCACCTGGCCCGCCAGCTGCTGGCCGCCCAGGGGGGGACCATCCACGCTACCTCACACCAGAACAAGGGCTCCACCTTCACCTTCACCCTGCCAGTGGGCCGGACTCTGGGGGGGTGCTGGAGGCGGCTTGCCTGCATTGTATCAAAGGCCTGGGTTGTGTCGTCGTCTGGATGGATCATCCCGGCGAGCATAGGGTTGTTCATGGCACGCATGCGCTCTAGGCCCGCTGCCGCACGACCAGTCTGACATCGGCCCCCTCGACCATTCGAACGACTGCCCACCCACCCACCTCCTCCCGCAGGTGTACACCGACGCCGACTCCAAGGCCGCCGCCGTGGCGGGCGTGATCAGCCAGGGGCGCACGCTGCGCAACCCGCCGCGCATCGACGACATGCTGGAGGAGGAGGCCGGCGCGCTGGGCCTGGGCGCCCAGCCCGACGGCGGGGCCGCGGGCGAGGACCTGCTCCAGCTGCTGCTGGGGCAGGCGGGCCTGGACCCCGGCGCGCGCGGCCCCGGCTCGGCGCCCCGCGTCGGCCGGTCGGGGCTGGTGGCGGGGACGCCGGTGTGCGTGGACAACTTCGCCTCCGACTTCCAGACCGACATGCTGGACCGCCTGTCGCTGGAGAGCCGGTCCACCTACTTCCTGGCCACGGAGCGCGAGACACAGCGCAAGGCGCCGCAGCAGCTCAGCCCGGAGGCCGCCGCCAGCGCCTTCACCAGCGCCGCCGGACCGAGCCCCGGCTGGCCGGGGGCGCAGGGCGACTGGGCGGCGGCCGACGCCGGCGCCTGCGGCGCGGGCGGCGCCTCGGGCGACCAGGCCATGTCGCCCTTCCTCCTGCCCAGCGCCAGCACGGCGGAGTCTGGCGGCCCCCCCAGCGGCTCCGACCGCGGCCCGCTGGTGCTGCCGCCGCGCGGGGGCGGGGGCGCCGAGTCCCGCCCCGACTGGCAGCGCGCGTGGCAGAGCGTGGAGGACATGCGCCAGCGCGGGGCCATCCGTGTGCTGTCGGTGGACGACGACCCGCTGACGCAGACGGTGGTGCAGGGCATGCTGTCGCGCAGCGGGTTCCAGGTCAGCAAGGCCGCCGATGGCGAGCGCGCATTGGACGTGCTGGAGGGCGGCATTCTGGCCGGCCGGCCCCCGCACATCGTCCTCATCAACCTCATGATGCCCAAGACGAGCGGGTGGGGGGGTAGGGGGTGGAGCGGTGCTGTGCCTGGTGTGTTTTTGTGTGTG